AGACAAGACTGATTTTTAGTATCAGCTACATGTAACACACTCAGGAAAGCCAAACCCAGCTCTAATTTTGTCAATATTCCACTAAAGCAGCAGCATTCATACAGAAGTATCAAACAAGAAATTACAGGAGCCCAGGAAAATCTACTTGACTTTCCTGCTGCTTCTGCGGGCAGAGCTGCAAACATGAGGCCACAGCTACAAAGGGCCACACACAGCAGCAGCTACCCCAGGCATTTCAGATTAGCACTGAAAGGCCATGCACTTCCTGACCTGTAATTGTACTAAACCACTGAGGTTGTGTCCATGAACATCTTTAAAATACTCCCAAACAGACATTTTCATTAATTTGGACCCTTTTTTTTAAAAAACCTGTAATTTTACACAAGCTAGCCATAATATACTTAGTTTTGACAAAATCATTCAGAAACTGGAACACAAGTGATACATATTGGCTCTCAAAGTTGTACAAAGGTAAAAAGAGGTCTGAAATATGCTGTTTCTATACCTGTAGTTTTAAGTAAAGCTTCATGTCACCCCACCGTGAATTATGAGGGTTTTTCTTCACAATGAATCTGAGTACTGGTTCCCTCTTGTCCAAGTCACAGTCTTTAAGAAGATACTCTTCTTTTGCTTCTGTCCTTGTTATGAGCTTATGTTTATCTTCAGCATCTCTGCAAGATGTAAAACAATGATAAGAAAGCTACACCTGAAAACCACGTTATTAACATGTAATTCCCCACTGTCTGTATTTAGGGAATGCTAGAAGCACAGTCCCAATTCTGTTTTTAACGTACATGAGTCATTTTGGATTTCAACAATCTACCTAAATGCCAGGATAGGTTTACTGAAATTAAGTTTAAAAATCCTCCCATTTGAGCTTAGCAGCTTGTTTTTCTAGAAGAGCTTTTCTTCTATTTTCTTACAAGAAAGAGAGAAGCTGAAACTTAAAAGGAATATGGAATAGCTTTAGGTATTCACCTAACCCAGATGCAATTCAAGAGGACAAAAGTACAAGCCTGACACACAATCAGGAAAGAATGTGTAATGTGAGACAGGTCAGATCACCTGAGAATATACACACTCCATATGCTCCTAGATCCCAGAAACTGATTAGCAACAGAGTACTTGTTTCTAAATGCAAGAGCAGGCAGAGGAACCGTGAAATAAAAACCTTAAAGGGCTGCAACTTTCACAGACAGATAATGAAAAACTCTGTAACCACAGTAGCACTTATGAGTTAATGAGAACAATTACATTTATGCAATCCTGACTGAACTGTAACTTGAATTGCTTAAGCCGGAACAATCAGCCAGACAGTTAAGTGCTAGCAACAGTCATCAAGGAAGTGCTGTAAATGCAGCTTTACTAGAACTCAAAGTTCACAGTAAAAGCTAATGCACCAAGGAATCTCTGAACCTTCAGCTACAAGAGCTACTCAGTCTGTCGGAAAACCACTTCTGAGGCTGAGCTCTCTCCTTTACGTCCTTTCCATCTGCCCGACCTTCCAGAGACAGCACTTTGTCTCTAACGACTGTGAACTGCCTACTCCATGTGCACAGCCCTGGCCACTCCCCGTAGCAAGTGGGGAGACACAGAACAAACTCCAAGCTGCCATCTTCGCCACCCCCCCATTCTTTCACATATGGGCAGTCGGCTGCTTCAGTTGGTTTCATTGCCCTGGTTATCTTGATGGCTTTTGGAGCATTTTTTTGTGCTAAAGGTAAGAGAGCACAGAGAGAATGCCTCCTGCTCAAGGTCAAACTCCTGCTTACCGTGCATGAGGGTTCTGCCCTTTGCCTGCCACGCTCCCAGCCCACTCCTGCTGACCAAAGCACTAACTTTACCCGGGTGCAATCCCATGGACAGCAACCATCCTCCCAATCCCTGCTCAACTTCAGAAAGCAGATATTCTGAGTTCTCTGTTTTTCAAACAGCTCTAGTTTGCAACCAGACATTTCCCACACTAACATACATAGTACCAATTTTTCATGTTTCCATAATGTTATGTAAAAATCCTCATGCCCTCTATCCTAAGACAGGCTCGTGAGACAATGCTGCCATTCTTCACTTCCATCACGGAAAGTACAGGTTACCAGTCAACTTCCATTTACTTTTCCAGTAAGTATTAAGTTACTGAAAAATGCCTCTTTGCTTACAGTTTTAATTAAACAGAATTATTGTAATTAACTAAATTACAGCCAGCAGTCTTTACATAAAACAAAGCTCCCCTCTCCTGATTATTTGTAATACCTGCAATTATCACACGTTGCCCAATCAAAGTGCTGCATAAGGTAGGAATCCATAAATTCTTTGCCACAGTCTCCACAGATGAGATAGTCAAATTCTAGTACTGGTGCTAATGGAAAGAAATTTTTCTATTGTTTTTAAGGAACTACCATGTTAAAAACAAGCATCTGGAACTGGTATTACAAACAACTTTACTAAAATTTATAGTTCTCATGATATCCATTACAGACTGTAATAATTCATTACAGACTAGTAACTCAAGTTCTCCAGAAAGATACAGTACAAATTCAAACTGATTAAGATGCAATCCCATTTCTGCTGCTTTTTCTGTTCTTGCTGTAAGGTTTACAGTTTAAAGTACCGGTTTTCAACATCCGAATGCACACATTTTGTTTTCAACTTAGCCACTGTTCAATAAGTAATTCACTGCATTTCCTCATAAAGTGCTTCATTTCCCCTTCTATAGCTTCCTCCATTCCAGCCCTCTAACATACGTCTTGATTTACAGACGACATGGGAGTCAGGAACAGGAGGAAGCAGAGAAGGGGATGCAGTCCGAAGAGGGTAGCAAGAGCAGGAAGCAGTACAGGAGCTGTGCTGGCATCATCCTCTCAGCTCTGCTCCTGGCTTTTTCCAAGCTCAGCCACACCTGCCTCTCCCTAAACGAGCTCAACACAGGCCTGGGGCAGTTGGCAAGGCTTCCGTCTGTTTCAGCCGGCAAAAATGGAGGTGGATGGCCAGAGAGCTGCTAGGAGTGGAATGGGGATGGAGCTCCACTACAATCCTCTCCCCAAGCCCTCTCAGCACTGCTCCAAGCCCAGACTCATTCCTGTGCCGGCCATGGCTTCTGGCTGCATCCTCGCCGGGTAGATCACCTCCAGTGTCATCGCCATCTGCTTTATGTTCCATGGGACACCAAGAAACACTTCTTCAGGTAATCAAAGCTATAAGAAATGCTCCTTCAACATTGTAGCATTGCAACTCTAGCAGAAAATTAACATTTTTATACAGTTTCAGGAGCTAAAAGTGAGGTAATGCTGCAGAATATTAACAATACCTGAAACAGAAGATTAATACTTGACATGCACCATACATTTTTAATTGCGCTTGCATTTATAGCAGATTCGACCTAGTAAAGATGACATTTTATGCCAATTCAGTCCTACTGACGACAGTGGGATGCTCCATGCTTCACATAGTCATGCTCTTACATCACATTTCATCATTTAAGGCAGTATTCCCAAACACAGATGTTTTATTAAGACAATGACATAATGAATTACACAGCAAAAATACCCCCAGTGCAAAAGCATCCCAGATCTACTCAATTTATTGTTAAATATTAGCCCCTCAAAAGAAATAGGGCTGCTAATTGCTAACACTCTTAATGAAATCTGGTGATTTCTAACAAAGAGATACACTGCACCAACAGCCCTGCAGCTGATTCAGAGCAGAACAAAGCAAGACAAAGGCAATCCCAGAGAAGAAAGTGAAGCTATTTTGGGATCCTTCCTTCTTCATTTGCTTTTTGGAGAGAGAATATCGTAAGACAATATGTTGAAATCCTCCTCCAAACGACCAGCAACTTGGCGTCAGAACGTTTTATAATGATAAATGCTGGCAATGCAGCAGTGCTCTGATCTTGGCATAAATAGTATCAATCTCAAAATTCCCACAACCGACAAAGCCACGCAGATTTACACATATTTCACTCTTAAAATTCAAATTCCCAAAATAAATAATGAAAAAAAATTTACCAGGAAAAAACCGCTATACCCAAGGGCACTGACT